CTGCTTTAAAAGCAATCTTTTGGAATTGCTCATCTCTGTGAATTAGGCATTTTCTTTTGCTCTGACTTCTGTTTTTTAAGGTTCTTGAAGGCCGATGGGCATTTTGAATCGGATCATGTAGAGCATTGTTCACTTGAAATTACTGTTACTTTTGTCATCTTTTATTTTAAACAGAATGCACTGTGAACACATGCTAATCGCATCTTGTATCCAAGTTTTTTTTTACTGAAAGCTCCTAAGGGTTACACTTTTGTACTCTAGCGTTCCTGCCACCATTAACAAAAACACAGGCAACATATCAAACTCTGGGAATTTCAAAACCTACCGTATTAAAAATGCCACCCCTTCTTAGCCGATGACGCATCTAATGCTCGTTTTTCTAGGGGATGAGATTAATCAGACTATTAATTATCCTTAATCCAGGGTCCCATAGTCTTCTTCCCTTGTGGTTCTGGTTGTGAAGACTAGTTCTATGAGGCCACCCTTCTCCATATCTTGTTGCTTCCTTACATTATCAGGTACAATGCCGGACCAGCAGCCATCACTGGTCCTGCATTGTACGTATTGTGGTAGCAGAGCCGTCTTTAATATTGGGCCTTGGGCAAGATTTTGCTGATGGGCCCCCACAACCCTTCCCTCCATCACCTTGATCACCTCCCCCCTGAAAATAAGCTAATAGATATATATATATACACACACACACATGTACTTACACGAAAGCCAATGATCATAAGCGTAAAAGGAAACGATAAAATATAAAATCTCCAGCAGGGGAAGTCTGAGGGGATCTCCAAATAAGCGTCCTCTGCTCCCGTATGTTTTTTTTAAAAAAGGTCTACGCGTTTCAGGGGCACGCCCCCTTCATCAGAACCTGAGACCTGTGACCTTTTAAAAAAAAAACATACGGGAGCAGAGGACGCTTATTTGGAGATCCCCTCAGACTTCCCCTGCTGGAGATTTTATATTTTATCGTTTCCTTTTACGCTTATGATCATTGGCTTTCGTGTAAGTACATTTTCACTTGCGTGTTGTACTCATCAAATAAAAGTTTTACACTATGGAGGCGCTCTGTGTTGCTTTTGTTTCCCAGATCGATGGTCGTTGTTGACCGGTGGGAGCTGCCTCTATGGTGTACCAATGAACTTTACAGCCGGATTTCTCTGCAAACCGGGGGCGCCGGTATTGCTTTTTTCACATACACACATCCATACAGTGAATATCCGGAATTCAAGCAACCGACACTTTAATGCAACTGGTGAAAAAAAAAATCAAGGCTATAACTTGTCCTTGATTTTTTTCTTCTTTTTTTTTTTTGCCGGCAGCTTGATGCACATTAACAAATTGTCTGTTGGTTGATGCACACTTAAAATTAGCAGCTAAATTGGTAAATTTAGGAGAGACTTCAGGAACTTAATACAGTAAACTCCCTATTATCTGGCAGCAAGCATGCAAGCAACCAGCACTCTCAGGATATGTCCTCCTTTTTTTTTGCCAGTGGCTTAATGCACAATAAATAGTTGTCGGTTGCTTGGTGCACAATAAAAATCGCCTTGGCAACTACATTTTTTTAGTTGCTAAGGAAATTTTGTTTACATCTCGCTGGCAGCCAGATTCCACAGTCGGCAGCAGAATGTAAACAATGGGTAGAAATAGCCAGCCTGCTGTCGGCTATTTCACATTGCAATAGTAGGCTGGCTATTGTGCCCACCCACTGAGCAGTGGAGCGGACCTGAGAAAGAACACTCTCAGGGCCATTCCTCTGCTTGGTGGTCAGGGTTTCAATAGCCAACCTGCTATCTGCGTCCCAGTCTACCTCCGGCACCAGTGGGGCCTGGGACAGTTGCCCCTTTTGCCCTGCGGTGAAGATGGCCCTGTGTGGTAGGAGTTCCCGCTAGCATTCCATTGAGTAAAGGACCTTGATGGCTGGCAGTTGTGAGACCCTAGACTGTTATCTCCTTCCCTAGACATTTAATGCTTAAAGGAGAACTATGGGGGTCAGTGTTTTTCCCCATAGTTCTCCTTGGGGTAATGGGAGGACACAAACTAGCGTCCTCCTGTTACCCTAAGCTCAGTATACCGCGAGCTACGGCTCGCGGTATACTGAGACGACGCACCTGGAGCGCATCCCGACTTAGATGACGGGATCCGCCCAGCTGCGTGAGTGACAGCTGGCTCTGCCTATCTAGAGGCAGAGCCAGCTGTACCCGCCCCCTCCCCCGTCCGTTCCGCCAGTCAGCGCTGGCAGATCGGAGCGGGGAGAGGGGAATCCAGCCCCTCCCCCTGTCACGGCAGAGAGCCGTGACAGGATCGAGAGGTGAGGGAACCCTGTATGTGTTCCCTCACCTCCCGATCTACTGAGCCGACCTGTGACAGTCTCATTGTCACAGGTCGGCTTAGAACTATGAGGTGAGTGGAAATCACTCATGTCATAGTTCTCCTTTAATCAACTGGAGGAGGGGGGCATCTTTAAAAAATTTTTAAATGCCCAGAGTTCAGCTTTGAATAACTAAAAAAGCATTAAATAGTTATAGACTTATGTATGTCTATTTGTGAACAATCCCCTAAACTTTATGTAATGAACATGACAGTCATTGGAAAATAACAGACACTGGGTTTTGTTCTGCTCTTTTTTCTGCTTTTGGATTTTTTTTTTTTAGAATGCTAAATACTCACTCAACAACCTGTTCATGCCCATTGTTCTAACAACTACTTATTAGAATCATAGGACACCTAAGGCGGAGAAGAAAGCCAATCAGTTAGACAGGAAGTGTTTGTTATTATCTCAGTTATCTGTGTTCCTCTTATTTTATATGTATAGCAGAGAGGAAGTATAAGTTGCCTATTATACAGAGGCTCTTTCTATTGTTAGAGGTATAATTCACAGATCTCTTTTGAAAATTGTGTGAATTCTTTCCGGACTAAAAGGGGCTGATGTTGTTTGTGCAACACCAACCCAATAATAATAATAATTTCAGTAAGCCATTGTATTGCCTTTATAGTATTGCTATTATTTATCTAATTTATTTATGCTGCTTCAAGAGTTAATTGGATAGACAACAGTGGGGCTTTGATGGCACCAAATGACAAAGTCCCAAAAAGGCACACTAATTAGTTAAAACAGATTTCATTTTATCGAATACAAAAAGTAAATAGCGTGATTAAAAATCGGCTGGCGACGGCCCTGCGTGTAGCGCCGGCGGTTCTTGTGAGGGAGGTGAACTGGGCTGTCTGGCAGGCCCTCATTTGAGCCTCTCCCTTTTCATCTCTTGGGTCCAGTATAGAGGCTGGCTACGATTGATGGGTGTTGATCCAATGCCCTGGCTTCCATGCCCCACTTGGCCATGTGTGGCCTTGGCCTCTGATCTCTATTCATCTGGGGCTGGCTGTCCCGTTTTGACGGCTGCGCCGGTAGTGCACCTTTCTGGCTACGCATTGGGAAGATTTCCTCCATTTCCTGATGGTGCACGAGAAATGCGTAGATTACCCATCCACTCTACTGCTCCTAGATAAGGCTAATCATCTTTGATGAATTTTGGACTGGTTCATTTCTTTACCTATCATTATTTATGCCAGTTGTTTTCAATTATTGTTATCAATGAAATTGTCATATCCTTGATCTGGTCCATACGTTTCTTGTCATGTCTACCAATTGTTGCTTATATTACTTGCCTTAATCATGGAACCGAGTGGTTAGTGGAGGAATCTCTCAATTGTATCGCATTTGTAAAAAAAAAAAATTAATTATGCTTTTTACTTTTTGTATTCAATAAAATGAAATATGTTTTAACTAATTAGTGTGTCTTTTTGGGACTTGTCATTTGGTGCCATCAAAGCCCCACTGTTTTCTATACAATTTACTCTTGATTAAATTAGGGGTGTGGCACCATCTACTCAGGATCTGTTCACAAAAAAAGTTTTTGCATATTTATGCTGCTTACTTTTCTGTATCTACAGTAAACCAAGAACATTTCTGATCAAAGATTTTAAATCAACGTGCATAAGAGTTAGGCTAGGTGCAAATGGGAGCTGGATGAAAAACCTGTGGTCGTGTTGTTTTCCTGGTATGGAAACCTGCTAGGGAAGGCAAATCATTAGGTAGTCATTGCTTGAATGTTGCTTACTACAGTTCATATTTTGCTGCACATCTGTGATTACAAATGGCAAGCATATGGACAGCTCAGTGCATTCAGAGTGAACATTTGGAGGTCACTTGCTGAGGGTCAGAACTGCATCTAAAACTCTGTCTTTAATGTTGGTATGAAAGTAATGTAGAGATGGCAGTAAGCAGACATTACAATGACAGTTATAACTGTAAGTACCAGCAGACTTACTGTACATCTCACAGGTCTAACCTACAGTAGGCAGGTACATGCCTCTCTTTCACCTCACAGAACTAACTCTGTCTAGAGTTCCAAGGATGAACTTCCATTTTATTCTGTGTTCCCAGTTTTTTTTTTTACAAACACTGGAGTGAGAAGCTGATCGCTCCAGTGTTTGCTCTGCACAGAGGATTAGTACATATCACTGATATCCTCTGCCGCTCTGCCACGCACAGAGCACAGCCTGCAGCTTCTCCTCTGGATCCCCGCTGCTGTCCCCCACCTGTATGCAGCGGGGATCTGAGGAGAAGTGAAGCACTTCAGCCGGCGAGGGGGGCGGAGGAGGGACCCACTCTCACAGCAGCATGCTGCTGTGACGGAGGCTCCTTCCTCCACCCCCCGCCGCCGGATGCAGCTCTTCCTTCACTTCTCCTGGGATCCCCGCTGCATACAGATTAGGGAGAGCAGCGGGAATCCAGAGGAGAAGTCCCACAGGACACAGCCGATCGCGATCTACCAGTGTTTGCTTTGCGATCGACTGGTAGATCGCGATCCACCTAATGGGCACCCCTGTGCTAAAGATCTGGGTTGTGTAGCGTGTAGGGCAAGTTGTGGAGATTTTCAGACTTTAGAGGTTAGGTGACTGAATGTGTCAAAAATGGAGACCAGAATGTAGTAAGCATGGGGGAAGATGGAGTACAGTTTGAGGACAACGATACCATCAGGTAAGTATTTTGAAGTTTCTCTTCTGCATATGACTAGTCATTAAAGGTTTGTGTCGGTATAAATGATTTAGCCATGTCGTCCCCTGAAATGGCACATCCAAGTTTCCTCTCCTTTTCCACTGCATAGTAAGGTAGGCCAGGATATACATAAGATCAGGGATGTGCGGTCAGGGGAGGCAGGTGAGGCAGAGCCTCACCTAGTATTATGGAGGAAAAAGCTGTCAGCTTCAAGTCCTGAAGCTGTCAGCTTTTTCTCCATTCAGATTGGCTTCTAACAGGTTACACAGCAGTAAAAGCCTCCCTGCTGTGTAACCTGTCATGGATGGAGAGCGCTGCCTGTTAAGTCCGGCTTTTGACAGGTAGTTAGGTTGCTGCTTGTGTAACCTAATTATTGAGGAAAGAGCTGTCACAGCCTCTACTCTTTGTTAGAAGCGTGAGCTCTGTGGATGGCTTGGACCAATCATAAAAAGAAAAAAAAAACACTGAGGCCATCGATCACCTCCCTTCCTCCTTCACACTAGCTTGGGGACCGGGTTGGGCTGGGGGCGAGGCTGGGGAATGTCTCACCCGGGACCAGAGGTACCGCACGTCACTGCAAGGTAGGAGGGTGTAAAGCCTGGAAACAGAGTATGTGGGGCCATCCTTTTTGTATGCACAAAGTTTGATGGAAAGGGGTAAGAGTTCTGTGTAAAGGGCCTCTGCATCGTAACGTGTGGTAATAGTCCCCGAGTTGGAAATAGGCTAGTCGGTGTCCCAGGGAGTAAACCAGATCCTTGGAAGGAGATCTTTGCAAGTCCCTGTTTGTCAGCGCTGTAGCCTGCCGGAGTGAGGCATGGGTCCATTATATACAATGTTGCTACTTACAGATCCGTAAAAAGCGATATGCTGTACAGATGTAAGCTTATTGATTTTTTGTGTGTATGAGTCAATAGGCTAGCTTTCTTGAGTGCACCTGCCACACCAGTATAGGACCATTTCAATGGCTGTACAAGGATAATCTAAAACCCCTATTATATGCAGTAGCAGGGACTCACTGTGGTGAAAATTTTTTTGCGAGCACAGAGTTTAAAAATCTTCCATATGCAAAGTGTATAATTTGTTTTGTCTGTGTAGCATGCGTAACATTTCACACAATTGTTATTAAGACAAAACAAATGCCAGTTTAAAAATATCACAGAAAATAAACATTTTGTGACTGTAAACAATCCCCGGAAATTGGGAACACGACTTTCATGTGAATATTCCAGTGTGAAAAGCGTAGGAAGCTAAATAGAACAGTTTGATTTTCAATATGCTTTGCCATGCTTGCTGTGAATGCGCTTAATATGTTTATTTAAAATAATCATAGTTATGTTTGAGACTACTGTTGGCAATATTTTGCTTTGTTCAGACTTTCTGTACATTTGTTAGAGCAAAGAGCAATGGCAGCAGACACATTTCTGTATGCTATAGCATCTAGAATAATTTAGAGGTCAGGTTATAACCGATTAGGTCCTGGACACTACTCGATTTGTGCACATTGCTCATCCCTTTGATTGAAATGATCCTTTATTATTTAATGCTACAGAATTTGATTTTGTGTTCATTCACATTGCTGCATTGCACTAAAGGCACAGTATCCATGTATTTAGCACGTGCTATCGCGCAACATAATCCACCACACTGTAAGGTGCATAGTGTTGCCATTCATTCTGAATTCCTGGTGGGCGTGCGCTGCATGGTGCTGCAACCCTTTCAACTGGAGTAAGAGCTTGTTCACACTAAAAGTGGTGACTGGCATTTTCCAGCAACTAAACAACTCCAGTCACCGCTATAGGAAATAGATAACAATTGTTTTTATGTGCCCCATTCACACCACAACACAGGTGTTGACATGTGGTGATGTATGCTGCAATAAAAGTTGAGATATGCTGCATCTTTTCACAGCCCAGTACTCAGAACTGCTGTGCGTGGACTTGAATAGAATGTATACTTTGTACACTCCAAATAAAGCTAAAAAGAAAATTAAACTGTGTGATGTGCTGAGACAGAGCATCACACTGTACGTCAATGGGACCTGTCAGGTCACACTAGCCCATCCGCTAAACTCAAGCATTTTAGCAGACGGGATAGTGTGTACTGGCCCTTATTCAAGCATTTCTTTTTTCCACCACACAGCAACACATAGTACAGCGGTACTGGGCATTGCAGAGCAGCGCAACGCATGCCTGTTAAGAGGTGTGTTGAAGTGACATTCAGAATGAATGGCAACGCAACACACCAGAGCATCTAGCATGTGGTGCATTGCATTGTGCACTATACGCAGGGATACTGTGGCTTTAGCAGCAGTGGGAATGGACCAAATGTATGTTGTTCTAAAATGTTTTCTCCGTTTTATATTATATGCTGTCATTTACTTTATTGCATTAAAAAGAAACTTGCTGGGAAATGTAAATATGTAATGCAAGAGGAATCTGCAGATCATTTAGGTTTGTTAATATTTGTTTAATTAGGATCTATGCCATTTAATACATTTCCTTCCCTTTTGTATCCCATCAAAATTTTAATAAATTGCTATTTATTTCAACTCTTTAATCCCAGTGGGTTGATTTTGGGCAGGGCTCTGTCTCTGGCATCATACGGTTCAAGTGAAATGAAGGATATTGCTATTCTTTTGTGAGCATTAATGAGGTCAGTGTCCTCTCCAGTGGTGTGGCCTTAAAATGCAGGTCCACCCTCCAAATCCTGGTGAATGATTCAGTGGAGACAGGGTGGATATACGATCTGTTGATAACAGTGATTAAAAGAGCCAACTGCTTTGCAAAGGATGGAGAAACCCAGTGAAAGATCCCTGGAAATAAATGTAAATTGTAATCACTTGTATGTCACTTAAAAGGTGAGTCCTCTCCAAACTAAATTCTGGGTCTGCAAATTAATCTTGCCCTGCATTTTAATTATAGCCAATACAGAGCTTTTCAATACAACTTGACAATTTATTTGGTTAAAACATAACACTGGTATTTTAAATGTCATTAAAGTTGAACTCCAGGCAAACAGCTTGATAAACAGAGGAAATACATATAAAAGAGCTGTTTTACCTGACAAAAGGTTTGTATTTCTGTCCATCCAGTCCTGAGATTTAAACAAAGCGGAAACAGGTAGATGATGCTATTTGCAGTGGTGTCCTCTCTGCCACCAGCCAGTGAAAGAGCAGCAGAAGACTAAGGAGGTCATTTCTTTACTCACTTTGCTCACTCCTATCCTCATGTTCCTTATCAATGCATATTCTTGGGATGCATCTGATTGACTGCCAGTCTTGCCACCCTTCCCCCAACCTAAGTGCTGGGGACTTCATTTAAAAAATATATTTAGTAATTTGTTAATGAATGTGTAAATGATGTATCAATTTAAAGTCTTTCTTGAGAAAAATTGTTAGCAAATGTATTTTGTATGGCAGAACTGACTGGAGGTCTCTTGTGCTGTAAATGCTCCTTCTCTGCCTGTAACATTTTTATCTAACTGTAAAGTGAGCCACACATGCACAGCTTAGTGTACAATCACAGCATGCTGTTGGCACCAGGACAAAGTAACTCCTGTGCTCATGCCCTGGAGTTGCATCATCCCTGGCCGGCCAGTCAACACGGTTGAAGACTCAAAATCCAGAAGTAGACCAGCGGAAGATGTGAATGGTGGCGAAAGAGCAACCAGAGAAAATGCAGACTTGGCATACTTTGCATATTCGCACTTTATGGCCCTTATGGTACTTTTTGGACCCTTTTCCAAAAGGTCAAAGCTGAACTCCAGGAATGATCGTTTATGGATACTTCTAGATACTTGGTCCAGCTTGGCTCATTGTCAGTATCCATTTCTGATATCTGGAGAACTGCTGGGGATGCTGAAAATCACTGTAGTAGTCCGTGCTACATCCAGTAATATCTGGTGGCTTCCAGTGCACACTGAGCACAGGGAGTTGTCTGCTGAGCTCTGTCGCAATTCAGAAATTGCATTGTACATTTTTCAATAAATACGAGGTATTCTGTGATTGGATGAGGTGGAAAAGAGGGGTTATGACATCACAACTGCGTTTCTGTGTCTTTTATTAAAGATTTCTAATTGACAAGTCCTGTGTCATATTCGGCTTAGAGCAGTGGTTCTTAACCAGTATAATCTCAGGACCCACATTTGTCTTTGGTCATTATGTCGCGACCCAAGTCGCACCACACTGGAAAATACAGCATTGGGGTACCGCATATTCCAGTGCAAACGATCAAACTTGGGTGGGAGGTGTGTTTGGGGTGCCATTCAAATTAATGGCAACACAATGCACCTCCCGCACCAGAACGAACAGTAGGTTCGATTGCGTGGTAGTTTGCGATTAAAACAGTGACAGACACACAACCACAGACACAATCTTTAATGTGGGCTGCTGTGCTGTGACAGAGCTCCATCCATACGTGCATTGCTTGTACAGCTCCTTTACACTCCCTGTAGAGGTGTCGGGAGCCGGAATGTGACATCACTCCAGTCACACGAGGGAGCTGTAAGCAATGCACATATCAATGGAGCTCCCTCGCGGCCATAGCTCTAGCCACTCCACCTCAAGCTGACACTTGGTGCCAGGCAGCATTTTTTGAATGGCTGCACGGCCCCAGAACTGACAGTGCTGCGCTCACTTAGTGCAGTGTAAGGTATGCAGCGACCCACTGAACATGGGGTCACCATCCACTTTTGGGTCACGACCCACCAGTTGAGAACCACGGGCTTAGAGTATTCAAACTATGTAGTACACTGAGTGCATTCTAGCTATAATTCTTCTTGAAGCTTTTGGAAGCTCCACAGTTATATTACCTTTTGTCACCTATGTGTATCACTGGAAACATCTGGAACTTGTTAGCAGTTTTTAAACAGGCTATCTTTTATACTGCATAAAGGACACAGTACAGCACTTTCCATGCTCTGCTAATTTTTGTAATACTTCGTTCAAAGTATTTTGTTAACTTGTAGCTGTTTTTTGAAACTTA